AAATTATATACGTAATAATTCCTACGATATTGTATGTATAAGAATAGAAGAAGAGAAGAGTATCTTTTCAGTCTTATTATCGCCAAAATTAAGACATTGCTCAACATGTAAACACATACATAGTCTCGCTTATCCTTGAATAATTTTTCCACGGCGAACGACACTAATGTCCGTATTGCACGTCACACATTCAATCGAATAATGAATTGGATATAGGAATTGGAATGAATAATGAATTAATAAATAATAATGAATTGGAATAAGGAATTGCACCAAAATGATTGGCGATAGGCTACGGGGAGCCAGAGACTTCAAAGACTTTCGTTAGTTATTTGTTGCTCACGCATTGGGTATTAGAGATCGGTTGACACTTTCCAGATGGCATTAAAAGCGATCGTAAAATTATTAAACGTGAAATTTACAACTCAAGAGCGAAGAACAGCGACGATTTTTGAAATCTCATCAGAACTCTCCTGATCGTATTAATTGATCATCTAGAATCTGGATGCCAAGTTTCGAATTTCCTCTGTTGGATTGTTTATAATCGTAATAAGCATGATCTAAATACGTATCCAAATTCGATATAACCGATTGGCAATTAAAATGATTATGAAATCTTTTAATGGTTTTTTGTTTGTCAGGAGTATATGGAAAAAATGTGTTGTATATAGTGTACGATAAACGAGAACAGTATAAAATTATTAGGCAAATTATATTGCTTCGTATACACCATACAAGAATATTTCAATTGAAGAATGTTTAGTTACTTGTCAGATGTGATTTACTCTTGCTGAAAATCGTTCGGCTCATCCGAACCGTCGCGCGTTGTCGCCGCAACCTTCACCGCGCTCACCAGGTCTAATTATTATATATTTATACAAATGTACATACTTACATTGCACTAATTTAGTATTGCCGCTGAGTATTACAACTAGTCACATAAGCCAAAAGTTTGTTACTCTCGCAAAGTTTTCTTTTTTCTCAGTTTTGTAATAAAGGAGGATGTCTAAAAACTACGAGTTTGATTTCTCACCCCGACAGCCATATAATAATCGTGCGTAATTTATTTGTTTATACGATGTAACAATAAAAATACTAAAATATCTAGCGTATTGTGGATTTCTACGAGATATATCAGTTTCTAGATATTTCTTGCACCATCTGTCGTAATAAATAAATAACATATTTATTTTTTATTCCGGAGTTCAGAAGCAGAAACTGTCTCTTAAATTAATTACTTTGAATTAATTACGAGAGTTCGTCTCTGCCTCACTATTTAATTGAGCATAATCGGTATTTTCATCGCTACTTTCAGTACTATAAACAATCTTCCGTTTTTCTTCTAGTTTTGTTTGTGTTTTGCCATCCATTTCCTCCATATTTAATTTTCTGCAAGTTAAACATAGATACGTACTAACATTAAGTTACATTATCTAAAGTGACATAATCGAATGAATATGTTTTATATGATGTAAGGCAAGCATGGGCGAATCGCGACCCGTGACTCGTCCCTCACAGACTCCTGCGACACAAGAAACGATATGGATATTGTTTCTTTTGTGCTTCACGCTCCATGTTACGTGTAGCAATGTGCATGAAGTAGTAGTAATGAATTTTGTGGCCCCCGGCCAAAATGACTCGCCCATGCCTGAATGTAAACGAATATTATAAAGTAAAAAGATCTACGAACAACAGATATATTAGGGTGTCCCATAAGTTCCTTCCGCGCCGCGCTACGAATGACTTTAACACTTTATCGACCGCTAGCCTATTTATCGGCTTTTCGATTGCCAATGTTTATCGATCGCTAGCCTATCAATCGGCTTTTCGATTGCCAATGCTTATCGACCGATAGCCTATTAATCGACTTTTAGCTATCTACGGTTTTCGCTTCTTTACTGTTTTGTTAGTAGCTGACCTCCTGTATGCTGACCTCCCCATATCCTTATGAATTATAATTATAATAATAATTATTATTTATTATTATTTTTAAAGGAATAAGCACAACACAATGAATAGCGAAAATTTAGCCGGTACTGGGAGCAAATGCGCGCGCGACTAAGCCAGTCCTTACTGAGTGGCAGCCTCAACCACGACCGGACGATAAAGTGTTAACTGGCTGTGTTTATATAAACACGAAGGCTTATCTCTTGGCTGTTTAGGGTATCGGTTGCAGTCGTCCCAGAGCTCTTTTAGAGTATGTTTCGTTGGTGACAAAGTTCCTTATCAAATTTTTTCTGCGCCGTTCGATATGGATAGCCAAAATAAGCATTTGCGGCATGTTATGCTTTATTGCTTTAAAAAAAGTGATAGGGCAAAGGACACTGCAAACGAGATTTGTACCGTTTACAGTGATGGTTCTACGACTATTAGGACAGTCCGCAATTGATTTGAGAGATTTAGATCTGGCAATTTTGATTTGAAAGACGAAGACCGCA